CCATCCATGTTGCTACACATGGCCAGATTTCATTGTTTCTCATTGCCATGTAGTATTCCATGGTATAGATAAACCACATCTTCTTGATCCATTCATCTGTTGATGGACACTTAGGCTCTTTCCATGTTTTAGCTATTGTGGAGAGTGCTGCTATGAACATTGGGGTGCATGTGCTCCTATGCCTCAGCATTTCTGTATCCCTTGGGTAAATTCCTAGCAGTGCTATTGCTGGGTCATAGGGGAGTTCTATTGTTAGTTTCCTGAGGAACGTCCACACTGTTTTCCAGAGGGGCTGTACCAGTTTACATTCCCACCAACAGGGTAGGAGGGTGCCCGTTTCTCCACATCCTCGCCAGCATCTAGAGTTCTCTGATTTGCTCATTTTAGCCACTCTGACTGGCGTGAGGTGGTATCTCAGTGTGGTTTTGATTTGTATTTCCCTGATGTCACTCTGGATATTTCAAACTGAGTATTGTTGACAGCAAGGCTGGAGGGAGAGGGACAACTCAGGAAGCTGTTACATCAGTCCCACCTGACATTAAAGCTTGTACTACACCAGCAAAGGAAATACAGCTTTCTGAGTGTTAGTGGGATCAGTTTGGTGGCTGATTGATTATATTTGGGAAGCATGAGAGAGATTGCCTCTCTGGTATTGGTGTGGTTGTTAAACCTGAAAGAAGGCACAGTTCAGATGCCTTCCTGGTGTATGGCTGGTTTCCAATCTAACCCATGGATGCACACATCTCTGTGTGTGTTTTGTTGTTGTTGTTGTTGTTGTTGTTGTTTTGGGTTTTTTGTTTGTTTGTTTGTCTTGTAATAAATCCTACTTCATTCTTTAAAAGGCTCAATACAGCTTCCTCTTCCCCTGCTCCTCCTCGGTCACCTCCTCCTCCTCCTTCCCCAAGACTCCTCTCCTGATAGTGCCATTTGTCAAATAAGGCTCCCCTATCTGGACAATCAGAGGAATTTCCTTTCTGGGTTTTGTGGGATTGGACCATTAGGGCAGGTTGACATTTTCCTTGCCCTACCATGGTGTTAGTCTAAGACGTGGTACATGGTATGTGAACCACTGATGTGTCTTCAAACTTGTATTTTTGTTCCCCTTTTGAGAACCCAATGATGGTGGTAGTTCACATCAAGGAAGAAAGAGGGTTTGGAGTTCTTTCCTAGGTAATTTTGGCAAGAGGAGCCCTCATTATGAACGTGATGGATATGAGCCTCAGCTTTCACACCTCCAGGAGGATGATGGAAATGTGATGATGAGGGATATCCAGGAGTACACCCAAGTAAGACAGTAAGTGATCAGGCAACCTGGTTAGCATGCAGCAGCCCCTGGGACTATGCAGCTCTTTCACTCCCCTTTGGTCTTCTTTTTCTTCTCTCACTGGAAAACTGAAGAACGCTAGAAGTGGAATAATGGTTGAACAATCCTACTTGTAGTCCTGGTGATAGAGAGGTGAGGGTGTATAGAAGAAGACTTTCTTAGCATTTATGGCCACCCTCCTCCTCTCCACTTTCCCTCTGCAGCATTCCCTATAGCACCCGACGCAACAAGAGGAGAGCAAAATGGAATAATGAAGGCCATATCCATATTACTGTCTGGAAAGATAGAGAACCTCTGAAGAGAGAAATGGGGAAGAACACACAAGATGGAACCCCAGGGAGCTGGTTCAAGATCACCGTGAGTGTCTTGGCGAGATCTGCATTAGATAGAATATCCTGGAACCCTATAAAAGGAAGACCACATTAAACAACCTTACATTGATTACTTGGAGGAGAGCTTTCCAATGGAGAGAAAGAGGGTTTAGGAAATCCATATTTCGCACAAAAGTAAGAAATAATGCTAGTGGTTCCTTCTTTAGAAGCCCTGTACGGCTCAGTAGAGGGTTGGAAAAAACACTGTTGGGTCTGTTTTCCAGCTTTAATTCCATGTTGTCTCTCCTCACTCTCATCCCTTCTTTTCACCTTTAGATTCCCTGTGGGGGAAAGTATGACAAGACATGGCTAGTGAATTCAATCCAGAACCATTGCAGTGTCCCCTTCACTCCAGTGGATGTAAGAGAGGATGGTGAAGCCAGATGAGTGGACACAGAGAAGTTGGGGGACTGGGGGGTAGCCCACTGAGCAGAAAGACTCTATACTTCAAAATTATTGCTGCCTCCCTCTCCTGTAGTTTCACTACGTGAAAAACCAGGCTCGGTTCTTTGTCCAGGATGCTGGCATTGCCTCTGCGTTGAAAGATGTCAGCTACAAGATCTGTGATGAGGAGAACCAAAAGGTATGTGCTGAGGGCATTACCTGTACCTAGTCCCAGGGTGGGAGGAGAGGCCAGGGGCTGGTGGTCTTCTTTGAAAGTAGAGTTCTTGGTGCTTACCCCTCTGCACCTTCTTGCAGATATCGATCTTTGTCAATCCCTCTAATGTACCGTACTCTGTGCGGTATAAGTTGGAGCCAGAAGAAATGGAGCAGCTAAAGGTAATGCAGACTCAAGGCCCATTGTGTGCTCACACCCAGGCCCATCTCTTCTTCCCCCAGCCCCCGACTTCCCTATCGCCACCGGAGCCTCACAGTGGCTTTCTCCATCTCTCTCTGCAGCTGACCATGAACAAACGCTATGATGTCTTCCAGCAAGCTCTTGACCTCCAGAGGCTCCGCTTTGACCCAGGTACAGTTGATAGCAGTAATGCTAGGGCAGGTGAGGGCACAGGGATCTGCCTGGGAGGGAGACTGAGGGATGGATATGTGGGGAGGGGTTGGTGCTAGCCCTAGACCCCTCTCAGCCTTCTGATTGCCTCCTCTTGGCTTCCTGAAGACTTGGTGGACCATGATATTGATATAATCCTGAATCGAAGAAACTGCATGGCTGCCACCCTGCAGATCATTGAAGAGAATTTCCGTGAGGTAAGGCCTTAGTCCCAGTGCTGTTATTAATAGTAGGGGGTGGAAGGAACTCATGGGGTGGAGGACAGATGTCTCTGAGGCCCTAGATAGTAACTGTCGCTCTAACTCTTCTTCACCAAAAGCTGTTGTCCTTGAACTTGAGCAACAACAAACTGTATGGGCTGGATGGCCTGTCTGACATTATACAGATGGTACCCACAGTCAAGATCCTGAACCTCTCCAACAACGAGGTGGGACGAGGGAGTCAGATCAAAGTTGGGGTTGACGGTGGGTGGTAGTGCTCATGATAGTGATGACAGGAGGCAGGAGAAGGTACCTGTGTGGAAAGGTGGGGGCTGGGGGTGCAGGGACCCGTGTGTCTCTCTTTCCCTGGGACTCCTTTACAGCTTCCTCCCCATATTTCTCAGCTGAACTTGGTGTGGGAGTTAAACAAGATAAAAGGGCTGAATCTTGAAGAGCTTTGGCTAGAAGGGAACCCATTGTGCGACACCTTCCCAGACCAGTCCACCTACATAAGGTCAGTGCGAACCCCTCTCACCCTTCATGGGGACCTTTGCCCCCTGGGAGCCTGAACTGTCCCTGAGAATGCATGTATGCAGAAAGCTGCAACCCTGGTCCTCTGGAAGGACCATAGGCTCCACCTTCTCCTCTCTCTGTGTCCCTCACCTGTAAGGAATTTCCTTCCTCTGACCCGCTCACCTGTTCTCCTGGTCTGGGGTCTGTTTCCACCTCTCTGCATTCAGTGTCCTTTAGCATGCCCTCCAAGAGTTTGCTTCAGGAAGCAGGGCTCCTCCTCTTCACCAGGACCAGGAGTGATGAACGTTGAGCCAGATACTGGTGTCCTGGACTGAGAAGGGTCCTCCAGCCCAGGGCATCAGGCTGAGACAGGCCTTCCTACTCCCTGCTGAGATGGCACTTCCCTCCCTTTTTCTGAGAGGGGACCTCCTTCCCTTGCTCCAGAATGGTTCCCCCTCGAGTCTCAGGCTGCCATGGTGGTTTTCCTGCCCCATGCTGAGGGCCGAGGCTCTGAATGACTGCCATGATGAAATCCATTCCTCTGACCCAATGCCAGGAACTTGGCCCTCCTTGGGAGAAACCGAAGTTCCCTGAGTCAAGGGGCTAGAGACTTCCAGTGAGCAGGGGGTTTCCGGATGCAGGAGTGGGAGGCAGAGGGCTGAGGTGCTTGAGGAGACAAGAATGGAAGGCAGAGGGCTGAGGTGCTTGAGGAGACAGAAGGACAGGACTTTCAGAGGCACTGCCTCCTCCCCACCCCACCCCCACATGTCACATCATCCTGACTGCTCCTTCAGAGCCCTGGGTAACCCAGCACAGGTATGATTCCTCAGGCTAGGAACTGACTGAGACAGGCACAGGTGCACAGGGGCCATCAAGAGGGAAGGTGGTGATCATAAGAGGGGGCCACGGGCCCTCAGCCCCATGCTGACTTGGGGCTTGACCCTCTAGACCTTCTGGGGAAGGTCTCCTGCCCCTGTGGCTGTGTCATTCCCCATGCCCAGCTCAGGCTAAGTTCACACAGGTGACAAAGTTTCAACCACATTCCAGTGGGCCCCCAGCCCAACACCTGCGTGTTTTCCATTCCTACCTCAGCTGCCAGGGCCAGCCAGGGCAGATGAAGGAAAAGGCTGCAGCCAGGGAGCCATTCCCCCCTTCTTCTCTCTTCCTCCCTGGCCCCCACCACCATAGTAGAGCTTTTTTTTCCCCCCTTTCCCTTTGCTTTGCTCTCTCTTCCTCCTTTGTCTCTACTCCCCTTTGTCTCTCTCTCCCCTCCCTTCCTACCTTCGCCCTCTCTTCTGTCTTCATCCCCCCCCTCCCTCCCTGCCACCTGGGTCTTGCCTCACTCACCTCCCTGCCTCAGCATCTCGGGCCATCCCCGGAGGTGTCACGGTCCTGCAGAATTCTGGGCCCCTAGTGAGGTAGCAGAGCCCTGGGCTCCCACCCCATCCCCTATTTTCTCTGGAGCCTTCAGTAGGGACCTGGAGGAAGGAAGGGAGGCAGGGAGGGGAAGGCAGCCCTGGACTCTGGACTCTAAATGTTGCTTCTTGGGTCACTGAAGAAGGGAGTGAGGGTAGTCCAGGTGGGAGCTACCTAGTGGAAAAGAGAGGGAGGGGAGATAGGGGAGAAGGGAAGGAGGGAGGCTTTGCAGCCTTGACCTATCAGTAACCTCTTTCTATTTTGGGTTTTGGACAGTGCCATCAAGGATTGTTTTCCTAAGTTGTTACGTCTGGTAAGTGCCTGCATTCATCACTGTCTTTTACTAACATTGATCATCTCCACACCTGCCCTCAAGCCCTTTGGGTCTTGCCTAGATTGCATATTTGTGCCAGACCCTTACCCGCTTTAGGAGACCAGGACTCCTATAAAAGACAGGAGTATAGTCTCTCGAAAAATGTCCGTGTGTGCGCACACGCGTGCGCGCAACACACACACACACACACACACACACACACACACACGTTGCATATAATAATAGAGACTTCCAGGACCTCATGACGAAGACACCCACTGTAATCTTGTCTGTAATTTCCAATGCCCCTTCATAGCTGACCTCTGACCCTCACCCTCTCTTGGGCTCATCTTCTCAAACCTGATCATCCAGGGCCACCCCCTGGACTCCATTGCTGACTTCCTCTTCCCTTCTTCAGGATGGACAGGAGTTATCCCCACCAGTTACCGTTGATATTGACACACCCTACTTAATAAAGCCCTGCAAGGTGAAGGAAAATGATCAAATGGCATCTGGAGTATTGCAAGGGAGGCTTTATCAGCCACAAAGTCTCAAAAGTCTTTTGATTCCAGGAAAGCTACAAAGGATCTGAGACACTGAAGAGTCTAGTCTTGCAATTCCTGCAGGAGTAAGCACACCTGGGAATCTAAGGGAGGGGAGGCCTAGGATAGGTGAGGCCACCCAAGCTGAGGACTGCTGACTGGGTGTTCAATATCTCATTTGGGGTCCATACCACAGAGACAGACTGTCCTTATTACTCCCCCACAGGTACTACTTGACCTACGACTCTGGAGACCGCCAGGGTCTTCTCGGTGCTTACCATCATGAGGCCTGCTTCTCCCTGACCATTCCCTTCAACCCCGAGGACCTAGCCCCGTGAGTAGCAAAGCTCAGATTCTGCTTCTGGGCCATGCGGACACCCAGCGGACACAGGGCAGCTCCTAGAAACACTCACACTGGCCAGACCATCACCTCCCGTCCCTCTTTCTCTCCTAGAAGCAGCTTGTGTGAGTACTCCAAGGAAAGCAGGAATATGAAGAAGCTCAAGGACCCCTGTGCGTGTGTGATGGGGAAGATTAGGCAGGGAAAGGGGATGTGAAGGAGTAATTATAGGGCCCAGGGTGTGGCAACCCCTGACCTTCGCTTGCTTCTCCTCACCCCATAGACCTGTGGGTTCAGCTGCTGAAGCACACAAAACGTGACATCGTGTGCGCCCTTGGTGTGCTTCCCAAAACTCAGCATGACCTCAGCTCCTTTGTGGTGGACATGTGGTTCCAGACGGTGAGCCCCTGCTTCCTCCCAAGGGCAGCCCTAGAAAGCCACTGGTGGGTAGCAAGTTTAGGTGACTTAGCAGCTGGGCTCTTCCCTTTTAGGAGATGATGCTCTGCTTCTCTGTCAATGGTGTTTTCAAAGAAGGTGAGTGTGTGTAGAGCCCCTTTTCAGATGCCCCACTGCTCCCTCCCCCATGGCTGGGCTCCCTCTGATAACTCTCTCACCTTCCCTGATCCCTTTCCTTCCCTTCCTATTCCTGCGGTGTTCTCCCACCTCCACTCTGCCCCCAAGCCATCCTGGTCTGAGCTGGGTCTATGCCTGTCTGCCCCACACAACTTTGGCACTAGCGACTCAGTCTGTGGAGTTTGATAGCTGTCATCCCAGATTCTTACTCTGAGAACTACTTAGGGTGGTTACTTAACCTCTAAGTTTCCTTGTTTGCAAAATGGGGCTAATAATACCCACCTCTTGGGCAGCTGCAAGAAATGAATCAAGTGAACTTGTGAAGTGGTTGCCACAGCACCTGTCACATAGTAGGGGCCCTATCACTGGAAGCAGATTGCTCCTACTGTTGCCATCTCCATACCAGACACCAAGGCTCCCAATGAACAATTGTCCCCCTCAGCATGAGTATCAAGTCAGACCCTGACTGGGGAAAACTGTGTGGGCATGTGAAACATGTGCGACTCTAAGAGGGGTATTGCTGTTTGTTGTTGAAGTGGAAGGAAGATCTCAGGGTTCTGTTCGTGCCTTCACCCGGACCTTCATTGTTACACCTGCCAGCAATTCCAGGTGAGTGCTGTGTTGTAGGTGGGAATGCCCATCCCAGCCCAGCCCCAGAGGTGTGGGAGTGTGGGAGTGTGGTGGTGTAGACATCTTGGTTTTCTCAGTATTGTGGAAAGCCAACAGGTAGATCCAAGGAACAGTCTAGTCTGATGGTTAAGAGCATGGGCTCTGGAGTCAGAGCACTGGGTTCTCTTCCTGACCCCCACATTCGCTAGGTGTGTATGACCTTGGTTAAGTCACATGACTTCTCTGACTCATTGTCTTCCTTGGAAAATGGGGATTAGGCTGTCCACCCCCTTGGGCTACTGTAAGGGATAAATGTGAGTGTAAACTCATCCCTGGGCTGCAGGGTAAGTACAGATCTAGTGAGGCTGGTAGACAGTCTCTGCAAAGGTGGTCTCTGTGGGTTGGGTAGAGGTACCAGCCAAGGAATCCGGAGGACAGGCACAGTAGGGATGTGGAAGGTACCGGGTTGCTGAGTGGCAGTGGGGGGTGGGATCGTTGTTAGGGATGTGGAGTTGTACATCCACCCAGTTGCCCGAAAGCCCATTTTCCCTCCAGTATATGCATCGTGAATGATGAGCTGTTTGTGAGAGATGCCACCCCCAGTGAGACTCAGAATGCATTCTCCATCCAAGTGCCTACACCCATCTCCAGCTCCATGTCCATCCTCTCCCAGGAGCAGCAGGAAATGGTGCAGTCTTTCTCCACTCAGTCTGGGATGAAACTCGAGTGGTCTCAGAAGTGAGTGTTGGGTGTGCATGGGAATAAGGGTGGGCTGGACAGCGACCTGGGGGAGGGGTCTAGTGAATCAAAGAAACTCACAGGAAATTTGGAAAAATATTTTTTTCCAAAAAAATAAAGAAAGAAAGAAAGAAAGAAAGAAAGGAGAAAGAAAAAAAAAAGTGGGCCCATGGAAGAGGTATCATACTATTATACATGTGAAGAGTTTAAAAAGCAGTATAATGCTCAATGACATTGTCTTATATACGGAATACCCGAAAGAATCCACCCCAAAAAATTACTAGAACTACTCAGCAGTGTTGCAGGATAAAAGTCCAATATACAAAACTCATTTGTATTTCTATGTATTTGCAATGAGGAGTCCAAAAATGAAATTAAGAAAACAAGTCTGTTCACAATAGCATCAAAGTAGTAAAATACTTGGAAACAACTGTAACAGAAGAAGCACAAATCTTATACTCTGAAATCTCTAAAGCATTGTTGAAAAAGTTAAAGAATTGGAGAGACACCCCGTTTCCATGGGTTGGAAGATTGCTATATATTTTAATATTGTTAAGATGGCATTAATAGCTAGAGAAATCTACAGATTCAACACAATCCCTGTCAAAATCCTTCTTTGCAAAAATTGACGAGGTTATCCTAAACTTCATATGCAAGTACACCAAAACAATCTTGAAAGAGAAGAACACAGTTAGAGGATTCACACTTGCCAATTTCAAAACTTGCTACAAAGCTCTAGTAATCAAGACTATGTGGTGCTGGCAGATGGACAGTACATGAATCAATGGAGTAGAATTGAGAGTCCACAAACAAACCCTCACATATATGGCCAATTGATTGTGAAACGAGAGTGCTGAAAAAAAAATCTGGTAGAAAGAAAAATAGTCTTTTCAGCAAATGGTACTGTGACAACTGGATATCCACATGGAGTTACCGTATGACCCAGTAATTCCACCTCTAAGTATCTACCAGGAGAAGTGAAAACATATGTTCACTCTAAAACTTGTACAGGAATGTTCATAGCAACATTATTCATAATAGTCAAAAAGTGGAAACAACCCAAATGTCCTTTGGCTGATGAATGGACAAACAAATCTGGTGTGTCCATGTGGTAGAATATTGTTCCGTCATAAAAAGAATACAGTTCTGATATATGCCACGACATGGTTGAACCTCGAAAACATTACGCTAAGTGAAAGGAGCCAGCCTCAAAAGGTCACAGAGTGTATGATTCCATCTATATGAAATGTCCAGCATAGGCAAATCCACGGGGACCAAAAGCAGATTGGCGGTTTCCAGGGCCTGGGGAAAGGGGAGGAATAGGGAGTCATGTCTAATATCTAAGGAGTTTCTTTTTGAGGTGATAAAATTATTTGGGAATTAGACAGTGGTGATGGTTGAGCAATCTTGTGGATATGCTAAGAAAACACTGAGCTTCACACCTTAAAATGGTATGTGCATAAAAAAAAATAATAAAATGGTATGTGCATTATATCTCAATAAAATGATTGGAAACTTTAAAAATTTCCATTTATCTTCTTGAATGTTTTTCTTTATCAATATATATTAAGCTCCCGTGCTCTTTTGGAGAACTCCAATTTTCTGTTTTGAAGTCTAATGGGCATGACATTTTGTGTCAAATGTGATACACATTTTCACTAGGTCGTTCTTCATCATTACACATAGTGCTCACACTGGTGGTGTGTGCATCCCAGCAAAAAGGTGGCCTAGACTTCCATCACATGGTCAGCGCCTCTGTACTGTGATACTAATGGAGGTCATCTGTTCTGCCACTCCAGGTGCCTTCAGGACAACGAGTGGAACTACACCAGAGCTGGTCAGGTCTTCACTATGCTCAAGGTGAGGTCTGGGATCCATTAAGTGGGTTACAGGTGGGTGTTTCTGGGCCTTCAGGAAAGCCAAGAAGGTGGAGGCTGGGTGGCCTGGGCATGAGACTCTGGGATCTGGCTCCTCTAACATCCCAACTCCTTCCCTTTAGAACGAGGGCAAGATCCCAGAGGAGGCCTTCAAACAAATCCCCTAGAAGAAGCCTTGGATATCCACATCATCTTCGTTCTCTTTTCTCCAGCCTAATGCCATGCCCATGACTGGATGGAGGCCTGGTTGACCAAGAAGCCAAAGTTACCTTTGGCTAGCAGGCCAGGTAACATAACCACCTGAAGTAGTTCCGTGTATTTCCCCCACTCATGATTGCTGTTTATCTTCATAATAAAGAGTGGTGCTGCACGTTGTATGATGTGTGTCCTGGATCGCTCTTCCCCTGCCCTGACCATGAGGCAATGGGTCCAGGACTGAAAGGCCCTGCCCTCTCCTCCACATTATTCACACTGGCAGTCCCTTTTAGGTACACCAGGCTTGACTTCATAGGTACTGTGTCAATAAATTCTGATGAGAAGGGACACACACTGCTTTCAGGGATTGGCCTTTGGAAACAGTGTGGCTCAGTCAGATGCGCTACCTGGAGGCCTGCAGAAGTAGGCATGTGACCTGGAACAACAGGGGCTCTGCAAGGGTTGCCTGCTGGCTAGTGAGGGCTGGGGCAGGAAGAAAGATGAGGACTCACCTATTTTACTTCTTATTCCTAAACATTTGAATGCATTCAAAGACATATCATCAACAATTTTATGGTTTGCAGACAGGTGAATGGGAAATGGGCCTTTTCATACCTCTCACCATGCTTGCATTTGTCTTCTCATCCATCCACTCCACTGCCTCCTCCCCCTATATGAAGGCACACTGTGGGAGGGATCTCATTTTAGCACCTGAGAGTGAGGGAGAGTCAGCCTGCCTGCCCAGTGCATTTCTCAGATCACTGACAAGAGTGCTCTGTGTCCATGAGCTTGGGGGTGGGGTGGGGTTCACACATTTAGTTTCACTTCCAGAGAGAAAACAATAGCACACAATCTCACATTAGGGCCAGTCCTGTGAGACCTTTCTCAATGACTGGGAATTAGAAGTTCCGAATTTCAGGCAAGAGTTGAAAGGGGCACTTGTGCAATTTATTGTCCACACTTCTGTAACACTTGGACTTTAGACCACTAGCAGGCATTTTTGAAATTTTTGAAATTAAAATAATAACAGTACCAAATTTCAAGTTGCCATCCTATAAGGGATGACACAGGTGCGATACCACCAGTTTACAAATTATGCCTCTATTATCAAGTCTCACATAAGTTATTTCCTACCACTTGCTACTTTTCAGTTCTTTATGTACATTTACAGGAGGAATCCATATAGTGGTGTGTGAATTTCTTGGAAATATGAACTAGGGGAATAACCACTATTACATAAGGAGTAATTCCAGCTTATTCCATGCAGTGTCTCAGTGATCAAAGACAAGAAGTGCGAAGACAGAGACCGCAGTGCACAACTCGCTGCCACATCGTGAGGAATAGTGGAAGTCTCATATGTTAGCAAGCAATTGCAGTACCTGACTCAAATTAGGCTCTCCTAGCTGTCTGAGTTCCCTCATGGGCAGGGACCATGGAACCCATTCCATGGCCCCTCTACTTCCTCTCTCTACATCATCAGGCTTCCACATCCTTGGCCTCCTTCTCTAGCCAGCTCAGATGTCCCAATCTTCCAGTCACTCATTCTTCTGTCAATTCCCTCAACTCCCTTGACCCCATGATCCTGGGTAAATGCTAGCCCTGCTGTTTGCCTCCTCATATACATGCCTGTGCGCAAACTGTCCTTCAGGACAAGCTTTTGGACATGTAAACACTGAGGCAAAAGGTGTGCCTCGTCAGATTGTTTTTGAAATGAGGAGGGCAACGGTTACTCTCATACATTGTTTCTGAGCATGTAAATTGGCATAGCCGTTCTACAGAATCATCTGGAAAAATTTAGTCATAAACGCACACTCACACACACATCTGTACACATGGTTTTATATATTCCCTTTATATAAAGGGAATCATAATGCTGATACACTTGGTATGCATTTCAGATTAGCTGTCAAATTTATTGACATGAGTTTGTTTATAATACTTCCTATCCTTTTAGATTTTGTGGAATTTGTAGTGATGTCTTTTTTTAATTGAGGTGAAATTCACAAACAAAATTAATCATTTTAAAGTGAACAAATCCATTGGTGTCTAGTACATTTAAAATGCTGTGCAACCACATCTACCTAGCTCCGAAATATTTTCATCACCCCAAAATGAAACCTCATACACTTTAAGCAGTTATTCCCATTTCCCCCCCTTCCCCAGCCACTGGCAAACTATCTGCTTTCTATCTCTATGTATTTTCTCTTCGGGATATTCCACACAAATTGAATCATACAATATGTGACTTTTTGTTTCCAGCCTCATTCACTTAGCATAATGTTTTCAGAGTGCATTCACATTGAAGCCTATTTCAGTACTTCATTCTTCTTTCTGGGTGAATAATATTCCAGTGTATGTATATACCACCATTTGTTTATCCACTCTTCCCTTAATGAACAAATGGGTTGTTTTAACCTTTTGAACATTGTGAATAAAGCTGCCACAAACATTCATGCACAGGAATTTGTTTGAACACCTCTTTTCTATTCTTTTGGGTATACACCTAGGAGTGGAGTAGCTGGGTCATATGGTACTTCTGTGTTTAATGTTGTGAGGAACCATCAAACCATTCTCCACAGCAACAGAAACATGCTACATTCCCACCAGCAGTGTACAAGAGTTCCAATTTCTCCACACCCTCACCAACACTTTTTTAAAAATTATAGCCATTGGGGCGGGTGTGAAGTGGCATGTCATTGTGGTTGCTCTTAATGGAGGACCTAATTTTAGGCTCTTCACCCTCCCTCCCTCCATATTTCTGGGTCCCGTCCCGCTTTTATCTTCCCCAATTCGCACTCACGCACTTATGAGTTTTCCTTCCCAGTGTACCATCTCTTTCTCTTCCCAAACTCCTGTGGCTCAGTGTCCCATGACTTCAGGCCTTCTCTGTTTGAGAGATGAGTGCAGGTGAAATGTACGGTGCTCCCTACTTCTCCACCATCTTGCCTCCTTCCCCAAGCCTATTTTGCTTCACTTTTAAATTCTACCAAATATTCACAGAATTTATACCAGGGAGGAGAAGAGAAGACGGGGTGAAATAAGAGGGTGCCAGTCTCATCTCTTCTCATGAACACAACCAGATAACTATCATATTATTGTAAGTACCCCAGAAATCAACCTGAAGAATGACAGAGCAAACTCCACAACCAAAGGGAGAGAGGAAGCCACATCAAAGAAGATAGGAAGTGTGGAAATGTGGTTTATGGGAGAAATGGATCACAGGTGCTGCAGAGGGGAGGGAGCTGTGGTCATGGAAGTAGGGCGAGAGAGAGAGAGAGTAGAGCACACAAAGGAACACACAAGAAGAACGTTTCCCCCAAAGCCATTGGCTAGGAAAATGAGAGGGGCTGATTGTCTTGTGTTCTTGCAACCAGCAAGTCTTAAAGCTTGGGGTTTTAAAGGTCAGTGGGCTTGGCTGGGATAGAGCCCTGAGGACACTGCCCAAAGGCAGGTAGACAACTGAGGGGCAGATAGCTTGGAAACAGCGTTTGAAGAATGACTAGGGCACACATGGGGGCACACACTCTTCCTGGAGTGTATTCTTGAGGGGCAGATGTCTCTCCCAGGACAAAGGAGCTGACCAGAGCTATTTCTCTCCCCTGACCCTCAGTATAAATGCATAACCACCTGCAGGAAGCAGCACAGCACCCACACTGGGTGTGTAACTTGCTTACACCAAGCCCCACACCCCTGCATTCTGGCGTGACTGCCCTTCTTCGTCAAGCTTGCCTCAGTCCCTGTGTGGTGGACCCCTCCCACCGAAGACTGGCAGAAGGCTCTGCCCATACCACATCTCTAAAGCCTGGAGTTGTAAAGGTCAGGAGGCTTGGCTAAGATAGAGTGTGGAAAGTAATGTCTTGCTCCTGGAGAGAAGGCAGGCAAACAACCTGGAGGCAGACAGAATGGAAAAAGTGATCTGAAAAATACCTGGGACACACAGGGGAGAAATTATTTGCACTTCTCAGAGTGATTCTCTGAGAGGCAGTGTTCACAGAGACGTCTCTCTGGGGACAACGGAGTTGGCTGGTGCCATTTCTGTCCCCCGACCCTCAGCATAAACACAGAGCCATGTTTAGAAAGCAGTGCAGGGCCAACACAGGCTGCCTACCTTGCTTGCACCAAGCCCCACACACCTGTGTCCTGATGGGACTGCCTTTCTCATTCAAGCTTGCCCTGGTCCTGGCATGGCAGGTCCCTTCCCAAGACGACCAGCAGAAACCCCTGCCCACACCATATCTTCTGACCAGAGAGTTCTGCAGGTCTTCAGCTCCAGGGGAAGTAGTATCAGGTCTCATTTAACACCTAGTTAAAACTTGCCATATTCTGGCCATGAACCAAACACTGCCCACAGTACGCAAGAAGAGCCTCTGAAGATGATTGGCCTGAAGGGTAGAGCAGTCAAAACACAGTAGGAGAATGCACCCAGCCCACACCAGAGACAGTTCCTGGAGCTCCAGTCCCTGAACACTACATGGCCTCTTCTTCATAAAGCCATTACCCACAGGGGCAGGAAACATAACTGGCTTTTACAAGACAGACGAAGGCAAAGACTTAGATAGAATGCCAAGACAGAGGAATTAATTAATCCCGAAGGAAATAACAAGGTTAGGCCATGGCTAGGGAATCTAAGCGAAACAGATATAATATGCCTGATGGAGGATTTAAAGCAACGTTCATAAGGATACTCACAGGGCTTGAGAAAAGAATACAAGACATCAGCGTGACCCTTACCACAGAGTCGAAGAAAAGAATCAATCAGAGATAAAAAGTGCAATAAGCGAGACTAGAGAAACACACTTGATGTAATGAACAGCAGTCTGGAAGAAGCAGAGGTACGAATTAGTGACCTAGAAGACAAAGCAATGGAAAGCAATGAAGCTGAACAAAAAAGAGAAATGAGATTTACACAACACAAGAAGAGGCTTGGGGGAACTCAGTGACTCCATCAAATGTAATAACATTCATATAATAGGAGTCCCAGAAGAAGAAGTGAGAGGAAAAGGGGCAGAAAATTTATTTGAAGAAATAATAGTGGAAAATTTACCTAGTCCAGGGAAGGAAACAGATATCCAGATCCAGGAGGCATAGAGAACTCCCACCAAAATCAACAAAAACAGGCTCACGCAAAGACATATTATAATTATGCTTGCAAAATACAGTGACAAAGAAAAAAATCTTAAAA